ATATATATATATATATATATATATATATATATATATATATATATATATATATATTGATGGATATCGGATCTGGTAGACCCGACTCCAGGCCCAAATAAAGGCCTATAATAACCCAAGAAGGAAGAAACTCAGTTGGAGATAATGGGTCGCGCCCATTATTGCGCATATGGCAGATAGAGAAAGACGGCCTAGTCATGGAATAAATTAGGGTGACCCAGTCCGAGAAAGGAGTGGGACACGTGGCCCACGTCATTGGGTCATATGCGGAGTGGGAAGAGAATCCCAGGAGCCATTAAACACGAAAGCAGCAACACGAAGATCCTGACAGTCCTTGGTCGGGAGAGGTTAGTGTAAATGGGGAATCCATGGGTCTTTCCAAACACGAACGGAGAAACTGTTTCCAATTCGCCAAGAGGTGCCAGATTTAAAGAGTGGGATGGATTCCCGTATGCTATGCCAAATCAAGCTGGGGGACCTGTGAAAAGGACAATCAATCAAACAAAGAAGTGTTAGGAAAATATCTGGCTTTGATGATTTTGGACACCAAAGCTTCGGGTTGTTGGAGGAATTTCCAGGCCATGTTTCCAAGTAGAGGTATGTTATAATGGTGTAGATTTTGGAATTCGAGTCATCCGTCTAGTTAGTGGGTGCAAAGACAATCCCAACACCACCAATGAACCCCTTATCACTTGATTTGCCATTGGACCACCAAAAGTTAGAAAGGGTATGGTGGAGGTCATCAATAATGGATTTGGGGAGGAGGAAAAGTTGCACGGCATATGAAGGGATGAAGGAAAGGACGGATTTGATCATGATCTCTTTGCCGGCTCGAGAAAGGAATAATCTATTCTTTCAAGAGAGGACCTTGGCACTGAACTTCTCTTTAAGGTTTGCAAATATTTTAGTCTTGTTGCGGCCAATGAGAGAGGGTAGTCCAAAGTAATTTCCAACATTTTCAACCTCGTTGGCAGGGAGAGTAGAGCAAATGGAAGTGCCAAGTAGTGGGCTTGTATTGTGAGAGAAGAAAATGGTGGACTTGTTAAAGTTGATGATTTGTCCCGAGATGTATGTGTAGGCATTAAGGATGGTTTGTGATTGTTGGACTTCCTCAGGTGTGGCATTGAAATAGAGTATGCAATCATTTGCACATAAGGTGAGAGATAGTTGGGGCAGTAGGGGTGCAAATACCATGAATAAAATCTTGGTGGAGGCTATGATTGAGCATTTGTGAGAGGGCTTTTGCACAAATGATGAAAAGAAATGGTGAAAGAGGATCGCCATGGCGGATTCCACGGTGAGGGGTGATGGTTGTAACAGTTTTGCCGTCATGTTGGATATGCAGGGTGGAGGTAGAAATGCACAACATGATGAGGTGGATGAAGGAGTTAATAAGGAAGCCTATTCGGGACATAATTTCCTCGAGGAAACGTCATTCCACTCTATCAAAAGCTTTGCTTACATTAGTTTCGAGGGATGCTTAAGCCTCTACCCTTAGATGTTTACCCTTAAGCTAGTGCATAATTTCAAAGGCAATCACTGCGTTATCTTGGATATGGTGATTTTTTTTTGTAAAGGCACCCAAAGATGGAGAAATGATAGAAGGAAGGACTTGGTTGAGACGGTTGGAAATTGCCTTCTTCATTATATTGTAGAGAACTTGGCATAGATAAATTGGACGTAGTGTAACGCCACAAAATATGACCTAAAATTTATTATAAAACAAAAGTAGTTATTGTCCAATAAAGAATATTTTTACGTTTGAACAAAAATGAAGGGATTTTCAAAATAATGACTTTTTGTTAAAAACTTATTTTTATGGATATGTCTCGAAGAGACAAATCCAACGGTACATTTTATGAACCAATCTGAATTATAGATTTCAAACTATGACGATTTTAAATATTAAAATTTGTAACTTTGACTCATAAAATAAACTCAATCCAAAGGTGATTTCATAAGATTAGAAATCATAAGTTTGACAATTGACAACACCATATCTATCATTTGGATTTAATCCATATATTTTTATCTCATTCATATTATTAAATTAATTTATGACTGAGACAGACCTGAACACTGAGAAAATAAAAGTTTTTAGAAAAATATTTTGATTACGTCAAAATTCTAGTTTTGACAGTCTCATTCCAAAAACGCGATCCGTTTTCAAAACGGAACAGTTTGGGCGAAAAAGCGCGTACCGTTTTAGCCAGTTTATTAGTTACGGAGTAGGAGAATATTTTAAAATCTCCAAATCTCTTCAATCACGCATGCCACCTTTGGGAATCCTTTAAAGTCTACAAAGCCACCTCAAAATCTCCAATCCTATACTAAAAACCAAAGAATATAATTCCACTATATCACCATCACCATCATTCATCCAATTCTCCTCTCCATCTCTCTCTCTGTCGGCAGCCAAGGAAGGAGGAAAACCAACCCACCAAATTTCATGGTTCTATGATAAGGAAGAAGAAGGAGGAGCAAGAAAACTATCCAAAATTTCCAAATCTTGACTTCAAAAACGCAGCAGCTACTTTGAGGTAAAAACTGAAATTTTCCATCCATTATCTCGAAATACTTTTTGAACCAAAGTTGTAGCCCCGGACGATACGAATCCAGCCCAACAAACGGATCGCGATTTCGTTAAGTAACGAAGAAGATATGACCAAAATACCGGGACTGCGCCAGTGGTGGCGAGTTCCTCGGGTTGGCATGTTTTTCTTCACCAAATTCATATTATTTCATCCCAAATACTTACCATAAACTCTCTAACAATTATTAGGAACATCCAGAAGGTATCGTAGAGAAAGTTCGGTGTTGGAACGTTGAAGTTAGTGAGCTAATCGTCGGAATCATGTTCATCGACATACCCGAAATTCTGGACAGCAACTTTCCATTGACTTCAGGTCCAATTTACGCTATCTTACGTCTGTTAAAACGAAATACTTTCTATACGAAAGTTGTAGCCTTACATCTTAGGAAATCACAGAATCAAACGGTTTGTAATTCCGTGAAGAAACGATGGAGATATGCCCAAATTACCGCAAGCTGTCCAGTTGTGACGGAAATGACAAATTTGGCAAATTTCGATGTTGTTTCCACTCCCGCTCATCCGTAAGGTTTCGGCCGATGATTTCCAGGTCTGTACCCTTGCGTTAGACTTGACGAATCATTCATCACATACGTACATGAACATATATGTTAATCCATATGTTGAAACTATCTCTAAAATATATATGTGATGCTTATATATGTCATCTATGTGTTGAGATCAAAATACACCAAATCCATAAAGTTAATATACACATAAGTAGATATAAACCTTGGAAATCAATCCAAAAATATGTATATGTTAATCAAAGGTGTTTAAAAGATTTAAAGAAGTATTTTGTACACTCAAAATATCAAGAGAAAGATTCGCAGATCCAAACGGTCGATGCAAACGGTCGACCGTCGTATTGAACTTAAAAACGGACTACTACTGTCGACAACAGAACGGTCAACCGCCGTAGCCAAACGGTCGACCGTCGCCTGCCCAGCCGAGAACCACCATCGCCATCCAGTCAACAACGGTTGACCGCCGGTCAACCACGGTCGACCGTCACGGTGATTCTCCAACCCGACGCGATGAAGTTCAAGGTCGACCGTCGCGCCAAACGATCGACCGTTACGAGCCCCGTAGCTTAATTAAATGATATTTTTATCAGATTTCATCCAAACAAAATAAAGTATATTTATCCAGTCATGTTGTTTACAAATTGTTCATATCATGTGATTCATTTCATCATCCATATTGAAACATATCACATCATGTGCATGCGCAAGAGATCAGGCAGAAGTGCGTCTCATGTAGTGTGATGTGCGGGACTTATTAGTCCGACATCACCCGTTCCGGGCTTAGTGTACGTACATGGTATTCAGGTTTTGAGTACCACCCCTATTTTCTAGTCTCCCTTGAGAGACTAAGGCCGCGTGAGTTCGTCGTACCAAATGGGCGAATCTCATACCGCAAGGGTGTCCTTGCTCGTTAGAATCATGCATCATGTTATCATCATCAAGTACATCTATTACATAGGTGTCATGTAATCATCATCAATAACAAGTATATTGATTACATAAGTATCATGTAATCATCCTCACAAGCAATTTGATTAATTGTGCCATCATGTAATTATCATTAAATATTTACCATCATGATTCATCAAATTGTCCATATGATATAATGTGCCATATTATGAATATTATTATTATACTTTTTGTGGACATATATATGTAAATGTATATGTCTATGAATTATTCCACAATTCTAGCGTGGTACCACTCAGTGGTTTCGCTGAGCGTGTAGTTTGTATTTTTCGTTGACTACACGTAGGTAACAAGAAGACAATGATGGAACCATTTACGGAGGGCATTGAGTCAGAGGAGATGCAAGGATGGCAGGCAAATGTTTGATCATCAGATTTTTAAAATGTGTCATGATTAAATTATTATTGTACTTTCGCATTACTCTGAAAATATTTTTAATTGGGTCGTGATCGAGAGTCTGTAAATTTAATATTTTTAAGTAATTGTCATTTTCAAATGTCAAGCAAAATTTTTATTTAACCCTCGTTTCACCTTAATTCGTGTAATTCCGGATTATACGAATTGGGGTGTTACATTTTGGTATCAGAGCAAAACGATTTTCGAATCATTGAGTCAGTATTTTCAAGTCCTGCATCCGCATCCTCCACGACATCTCTGCCCCGGGAAGGTAATCAACAAGTAAGTTATTATGGCATAACACACGTATTTAACTCATTGAAAATTTGCTTCCTTTGAGTTGCTAGTATCCTCATAGACCCGATTGCAATAAAGTATAGATTGCCTTAAAATGTTCTTCAACGATCACAGTCGACATCAGAAGATCAAGAAAGGAACTGTAAACCTGATAAGCGCGACATATACGTATGTCATAGTACGCGAATGGCTAAGCGAACGATGTGAATCAACTTCTATCAAGCCGAAGAATACGTTGAAGAAAGAAAGAACTTTCTCCAATAGGAAGTGAACAAATTCTCCAAAGGTAAATCTGTCGTTTTCTAAGAACAAGAATAGAGCCTCACAAACCAGATCAAATACGGCATATGTATCGAATCTGAAACGCATTATAGGGGTGAATCTACATACAAATATTAAGATATTTGACTCATTCGTATACCCTATTGACGTGAAAGGTTGCAACAAGATGACCGTACAAAGCAAGATCAGAAATAGTCACACCAACAGTAAGAGACTGGAAAACAAAGAAAAGGATTAATATTTACATGATACATTTTGATGTTGGAAATAAATACTCTTCTGAAATGCAGTGGTCATGCAGCTTAGAACGATATTTATGACTAACGCATAATGTACATGAACAATATTATTTCAACGTGGAAATATTACAGATGTAACTCTAAGTCCAATCTTCCAGGATTTGCAAACTCGTCATAACTAGCACCAGGACCCGGGAAAGCATTAGCAAACTCTAGCTTGTCCAAAAGCTCATCAACAAAGAAAGAAGAAATGAACAGTTTCCTCTGATTCAAAGCCATGAAGTTCTGCCTCACTGCATCATCTAGAAACTTGAATAGGTTATTGAAATAACCGTCAATGTTCAAAAGACCAATTGGTTTACTATGTAACCCTTCGGATGCCCATGAGATCAAAGTAAATAAACCCTCCATAGTGTCAATTCCTCCAGGAAGTACAATGAAGGCTTCCACAATATGATTCATCTCGAAATACTTATAGTAGTTGCTGGAGACGGTGTACTCTGCACCATATGTTGGTCCATAGACCCCTCGTGTTGCTATATACCCTGGTATGAAACCTCTGACTCTACCACCATTATTATAGATTGTTGAAGCTACAGCTCCTTGAAGGCCAACATTGCCTCCTCCATAGGTAAGCCTGATTTTTCGCCTTACCAATTCACGTCCTAGATCAACCGCTGTAGCCATGAACCTTGGATTGCTACCTAGAGCATGACTACCAAGTAGACCAACGAATCTTATGGTATTAGGAAGAGCTCGAGAAGTTCCTTCCATAATGTGAGACACTCTTGCTACGATTCGATATATATAGACTCTGAAACTGGACAATTGATGGAAAAGTAATTATCACCAGCCCAAAAAAAAAAACGTACAGGAAAGTGGATTCGTTCCAGACAAGAATGTACTCGCCAATACTACAGTCTGCTGGCAACATGACATATTGAGACTCAGGAATAGTTAGGCTCATTATCCTGAAATACGTTCAAATTCGAGACGAAAAGACAAAATGACTATTTACCTAAAACAATGACCCCTTGAGTAACTTCGAAAAAAGTGAAACATTAAAGGATGAAAATCTACTATTTGCCACGATAATTCGCAAACACTATATTCGTATCTTGTGACCTATATCTTTGAAATACTAAAACTTACTGTGTTAATTACACACTTAAAGCATCTCACTTGATTAAACTTGAAAAGATTGAATTCCATATTTTTTTTATTTTATATCAAATCATTGAGAATTTGTTTTAACTCATCAAACCAAAAAGATATTTTATGATACCGATCTTCAAAAAAATCACGCATGTGACTGTAGAATCCCAATCATATTAGAATAAGACTACGTGTATAACTTATCATGTTTTTAGTAATAGGTAATTTAACTGTTGTGTGAAGTAAGAATATTAGTGATATGACGAATACACTTATATTATAATTTTCGAGCACGAAGCTCTATCATAATTATTGAGAAATTTTGAAATTTCAAGGTAATTCTGGAATCATCAATCAGAAAATCAGTATTCAAGAATGACTACATATCATCTTGATATGATAAATAGTGACAAAATAGCAAGTGCTATCAAAACGTTCATCCAATCATTACAATGTGATGAAAAAAAATATTATTGTTATACATAAGTGTAATATATTTGTTAACTGTTACAAATAAGCTTTAATCAGCTTATTGACATTATGTTAGTCCGAACAACTCTATTAAGGATCGCTAATGAGAGTTCAAGTTCTGAAACTATAATTACGTATTCATCTAAGAAACTTAGAATGATGACTATGGTAATAGTCATTCCTCAAAATGCCATTATGTAAAAACGTCAAACCTAGAAACAATTCGTTCCAGATTGCACACAACGAAGCGTAATTTGTGAAACTAACATTCTGGACAAAGTCATCTGAGAATGATTCTCAAAGAATTTCAAAAACCAAAATTTTGTAAATTACCCCACTTTCAAGAAACACCACCCATACAAGGACTCTTGAAAACTCCTACAATACGACAAGAGCAAGTCTAAGAGTATATTCGGTTCAAGTCTTCATGAAAGAAATTTAAACATGCTACATCTATCATCCGCGTACATCTTCTCTAAAGAGAACATGTCATAATCATGACACTCAACAAAACAAAGAGAAAAACAACTTTTGGAAATTTGTGTTTTATAAAAACAATGGATATTCATAATTTTGTACATCATTATTTTAAATGACTTCTCACCTAGGGAAATTTCGGGGACGAAATTTCTTTAAGGGGGGAAGAAATGTAAGGCCACAAAATATGGCCTAAAATTTATTATAAAACAAAAGTAGTTTTTGTCCAATAAAGAATATTTTAACGTTTGACCAAAAATGAAGGGATTTTCAAAATAATGACTTTTGTTAGAATAAGTGACCAACGCTAGAGGGGGGGTGAATAGCGTTTGATCTTAGAAATCGCAGGAATAAAAAATTAAGAACGTGAAACGTAAAGAGCGTAGAAAGCGTAAAGGGAGCACACCAAGATTTATACTGGTTCACCACAACGTGTGGCTAATCCAGTCTCCCGAGAGACTCTCTCGAGCTACACTACTTCCGTTAAGCTTACGGGTGCTTAACAAACCGTTACAACCTGAGAACTCGAGTCCCACGAGCCTCAACAACACTTGCTCGGAGATACGGCACTCCAAGACTTCAACCCGATGGAAAATACCTTTCCTTCGTACAACCAAGGGAAACAAGCTTCCCTTAACGTGTATACAACACTAAGACACTCAAGAACAAGACTCTCCTTAAGAGTGGATATGAGTAAACTAAGAACGCTCAAGAACACAACACAAGCTTCACAAAAATGGCTCTCAAAAGCTATGAATAATTAAAGAATGATTTGCAATGAAAGAGTAGGAGTTGTGAAGTAATGTTATGTGTAAAACAGACCCAAACACCTCATTTTATAGTAGAAAAATAGGCACCAACGGACCAAAGTATTTAAGGGAA